TCATGAACAAAAGAAGATCATTCAGAGGTAGTAATATTATTAAATTATTATATGAATCGGTTGGTTTGAGTTTTTCAAATCAAATCAAATTATTTGTGTTGGATTTTTAAAATCTATAAATCAAACCAAACTAATAAACTCGAGTTTTTCAACCTCGAATTTTTGTGAGTTTTTTCGAATTTCTCGAATTTTCTAATTTTTTAAGTAAAGTATTCATAGAATCATATAATTAACTTGAGATTCAAATATTTTTTAGTCCTATGAAAATACAACTATCTAAGATATTACTTAAGAAAACAACACATAATATGATATGAGTGAAGACACTAAAATATTCAATAAAAATAATTATGATATCATATAAAACAAATACTGCAAATAAATAAGTCATAATGAAAATGATCATAATTTAAATGTATTAAATCATTGCTAAAATAAGTCTAATAAGTATTAATTGCATGCCTAAACATCAAAGAAAAACGAAAATTAGGTTATTAATTTTAATTGTCTAAACCAATGTAAAACTAAAGAACAAATATTCAACATTATTGTCATTCTTAGTGTTGAATTAATTATTTTCTTAGCACTTAGCATTAGTATTGATTTGATTTGAGATTTATTAGAGTTACTAATATTTACGGACTATAATTTTTATTGGATCATTCAAAATTCTAAGTCAAACTTGAAATAATAAGTTAAAAGATAAAAACTATGAAAAAGTATAAGAAATATTTATAAATTATAACAAAATAAATACCTTTATGTATAAAATAAATTTAAAAAATTATATATATAATGTTGGGTTGTGTTGGTTTCGGATTGATTTTTTTAAGTTAAAACCAAATCAACCCAAGTATAGTTGGTTATTTTTTCAATACTCAAGTCAAAACAGATCACTAGTTAGTTTTTTTTTCTTGGGTTGACTCAAGTTGCAGTTTGGTATGGTTTTCGATAAAGATTTGTTCACCCTTTTATATATGTGTGTATGGAATACAATCTGGTTTTCATAAAAACAATAAATTATACCACATTATATACAAACATATATTAGTATATGGATTGTGTATAAAATATGATATACAGATTGATTTATGTTATCTTTTTTTGTACTACCAAATTTTATACACACGTGTTTTAGTGTATGAATTATGTTAAAATATGGTAAATACAAACTGATATAGTTAATGAAGTGAATTCAATTAAGTAATGGAGTTTTGAAGAAATAAAAGAGAATGAGGGTATGTATAAATATAATAGAATTTCTGAATTTTCAGAAGAGAGAGTATGAGGAAACAAAAATGTATGAGAAACTTATGAAATAAATATCAATTAATTAATTGGAAGATATTATGGAATTGATATCTTCGGTCAATTTTAAAACTCTTTATTTATGGAAAGCAAAATTGAGTTAATTAATGATTAAAAAGTTATTAACCGTGTTTTTTTTTTTTTTTTTAAAATTGATTTATTATTTTGTTAGATTTCAATAGAATCTACTTTAATATATTGAAAATTAGAAAACTTTAATTTGGATTTAATAACAAGTACTTAAAATCATTTTTTTTACTTAATAGCAAGTACTTGAATCACTTTTTTTAATCTTATCCAAACACAATAATAATACTTTAAAATTATTTTATCTTAAAAATATCTAAAATAAATTAATTCAAACAGACTTGAATAGAACCCTCTTTTTTACCAAGTTGTCATTATATTGTTCCTATGAGTAAATAAAATAACCTAACGCGTCAAAGAATTTGTGGGGGAAAAGGTGATAGAAGCATTGTATGCCACTGAAATTTCAAATGCTTTTTTTAATTTTTTTTTTTGTATTTTTGCTTCTTTACTTCAACCTTCTTTTTGCTTTTTTTTTTTTTTTT